ATATATATTATATATAGTTATATATATATGTATAATATATATACATATATATATTGGTAATATAATATATATAGTGTATATATATCTATTTATATATATGTATATATATATTTAATATATATGTATATATCTGTTATGTATATATATATATGTATAATATATATGTACATATATTGTATAATTATATTGTGTAATGTATATATACTATGTATATATATGTATAATATATTATGTATATATATATGTATCTTATATTTATATATGTGTATCTATATATATATATTTATATAATTATATATTAATATATATATCTGTATATTATATGTATATATAGTTATATATATATATATTATATATATGGTGTGTGTGGTATATATATATATATTATATATTAGTATATGTGTGTGTATTTCATATATATATATATATATATATATATATATATATATAAGTATATACACATATATACATATATATATATATATTTATATTATTAATATATATACTATATAGATATATATATATACATATATACATCTATATAATTCATATTTATATAATTACATAAATATACATAATATATAACATATATATATATATTATATACATATATATACATACACTACATACATACATACATATATACTAGTTTATATATATTATATATATATATTATTATACTATAATTATTATATACATACATACATACATACATACATACATACATACATACTACATCATACATACTACAATACATACATCATATAATATAGCATATATATAATTATATATGTATTATGTTATATTATGTCATATATATGGTACATATATAATATTATATATAATATATAATAATATATATATATACATACCTATATATATATATAACATATATATACATATATATATATATATATTACATATATACATATACTATACATATATATTATATATACATATATATCGTACTATATATTATATATATATACAAATTTATACATATATATATATATATATATAATAGTTATATAATAGTATATATAATATATATATATATATATATATCAAATATATTCTATATATATGTGTGTGTGTGTGGTGTAGGTGTAGGTGTGTGTATCACACACACACACGCACACACACACACACAACACACAAAACACACACAACACACACCACACACACCCACACACAGACACACACACACACACACACCACACACACACACACGACACACACACACACACATATATACAATATATATATATATATTTTTTTTACACCACACACACAAAAACTGATGAATTACTAGAAAAATATACAGTAAATATGAATAGGTAATTGAGTGACCACACACACACACACACACACACACACACAACACACACATATATAAATATATATATATATATTTTTTACACACACACACAAACTGATGAATTACTGAAAAATATACAAGTAAATATGAATAGGTATTGAGTGAATATATAATGAAAGGAATGAGGAGTTAAGTGTATGCTTATATAAGTAAACGCATGAATCTGATAATAATTGTCAGGTATATGTTGAAAAAAAGTCTGGCTAAAAAATGCAATCAGAATAAATACTACATATGAGCATGTATTTGCATAAGATGTCAGCTACCACTTGTATATTAGTTTACATGCTTGGTCCTCTTTGTCAGAACACCATTGAGAATTTGACTGGATTATTTAGCTTTAATCATACTTTGGAGTGGGAGGATAAACAGTTTTATTAATAAAATCAGCATGAAATTATGGTATAGAATAAACTAGTTCAAGTCAGGTATCAAAAAGCAATCTTTAAAAAGGGAAATAGATAGCAGAAAGACTGAATTTTGGACATTTCAGATTTTCTCGACTTGTTTCCTGGCCATAATCTTCAGGATGGACCTCTGGCTGTGATAACCCTCAGTCAGAAGACCCAATGTGACATGAGTGCTTGGTCAGAAGACATGGAGATTGAGAGGGATGAACTCATTGAATATGTAAGTCCAACAGATAGTATTACCTGTGTTTGTTTTTAAGCCCCTGGATGTTTGATGAATATTAATTACCCATTAGAGGACTCTAGATTGGTATACAGATGCAGAGAGGAATAATCTTGTTGAATGTATAACTCTGTTGAACATTCTTGCTCATCTTCATTTTTTCGTGTTAATTTATTCATGTAGGTGTATGTTGCTTGATACATGTATCCTTTGCACCAGTTCATCATGGCTGCTGAAGAGATTTGTGGCATCTTCAAGTCAGAAGGTTACTGGGCGGACTTCATCGACCCAAGCTGTGGGCGGCCTTATCACGGACAGTTTACAAATGCGACTCTGTTTGAGACCGATGAACGTTACAGGCACATGGGATTCCGTATTGAGGACCTGGGTTGCTGTAAGGTTATATCACACAGGCTTTGGGGCTCACATGTCTTTGTTGGTGAGTATTCCTTTTGTTCCAACTTGATTTAATTTAACCTACAGGATTCATGAAATGTTGGTTAACCCATCCAATCTGGATGCTTCACTGCCATCATGTGACCCAAGTAGTGGCATTAGGCTTATTGAGTAAGCTGGGTGCACATGAATACTTGTGTGTGGTGACAAGAATTCAGGCCTTCCCTTTGGAGTGTTATTTACTCTTTTTATTGCATAAGGGTTTTTTGCTTTTTTGTCATTTTCCTCTCTATATGTCATTTGAATTATTTATCCAGATGGTAAAAGACTGTTTTTCTTGCAAAGACACCATATCATCTCTGTAGGTAGTTCATAACTCAGAGCAATGATAATAACAATAAGTAATATTTTGTTATTTATGTAATTTTAAAATTGTTTCATAATATTCAACTTTCATTATTACAACATGTGCAGCATGTCACAGTGGACAGGAATAGGATCCTGAGCATGGAAATAGCGTCATCCTTGTAGCTGGTGTTCTTCTAGTCATGGCACACATATAAATTCCACACTTGTTTATCGATGGAAATAGTGCAAAAAGCCCCTTCCTGAATGCCAAATGAGTCTAAGAAATTTGTGCATTCGCTTCAAGTCATTCCAGTCACCCTGGCCTTTAGCTGAAGTGCTCATGATGGAAAGTTTGCATCACCCTGGCCTACAGCCAAATTTTCCCATGATGCCCCTCAAGCCTAATTTTTACATGGCATGGTGGTCACGCCATTCGGATCATGGGGGTTAATACAATAATATGTCATGTTTTGTCCACCATATGTTCTATGATATAGGGTTATATATGATCTGGGTCTTGTTAAACTGTATTTTGTACATACCAAAGCTGTTTTGGGTACAGTAGTGTACCTATATTGCAAGTAGAAAATAATAATAAAAAATACACTACAGAACATACATTTCCCAATGACATAGGTTTTACTATGAATATCAAGACATGTATTGTCGGAGAAAGTAATAGATGTAAATGCAGCAGATGTGTAGGTTTTAGTTTGTTGAATGTGATAAGTACAGTTTTAGGTGGTTTTGGGGAAAGTAAAGTGCGGGTAACCAATTTATTCATTGATCAGCATTGTGAGGGAGGGACATTGAGACACATGTAAAATGTACTGGGTGAAAGGAAGGGATGTGTTTGGGGCATTCATGGAGCTAGGAAAAGTATATGATATTGGTGACAGACCTATGAGAATGTTGGAACAAGTGAGAGATACTGGGCCTGTTACTGGCAAAGTGTAGAAGCTAAACAATTTGGATATGAGGATTTGTAGAATGGTTTCCTTGTGCCAACATTGTTGTCTGCAGCAGAAATGGGCTATGAGAGCTGCAGAAGAGATGCTTAGAGATAGTGACAATGAAGTTCAGGTTGAACAGACTGAAAAATGGAAGGGTGTAAGAGTTTGTAGAGATGTTATGAGAATATGCTGTGTGTGGAGAACAGAAAGGGGAAGGGGATCACAAATTCTAGTGTAGCAAGCAGTCATCCATAGTAAGTCAATAGAATAGGGTAGGGAGTGTATGAGAAACAGAAATGTCTTGAGAAGATCAGTAAGTGATATTTGATGATGCAGTGGAAGGGATATGTCTTGCATATTTTTCACTCTCTTGTATTGGTTGCACATAGAGCTGAAAGGAATAACCTAGTCAAGCCTTTCTGCTAACAGACAAGATAGACCCAAACCAGCAAAGGAGATGGATTGTTGTCCTTCATTCCTCTATATATTTATATGAATGTTTGTTGGTGAAGGTTTGAGGAGGGAGAACTAATTGAAGGCTAGTTTGTCTAAGCCATATCTCTGATAAGTAGAACAAGACCCAAGCATATAGGTGGATTATATAGATAGGTTTACTATGTTTATATATATACTGTACCATTATACTAGGCAGTGCAAGTGATTTGTGTTCAAGAGAAATGCAATACACTGTTCTGCGTTAGAAGCTGTTGCAGTAGTTACATCCGGGTATGCCTTGGGTTCAAACTATGATTTCTGAAGTGATATAACCTAGTGGGATCACAGACATTACCATGATGTTCTGAATTACACTATTTTTAAAAATGCTAAAAATTCTATATTCCTGTGGGAACCTAATAATTTATTCCTTTTTGCATGTATAAAAAAAAATAAATAAATAAATAAATAAGAAAAAATTAAGACTTGATTATATACTTTTCAGGTTCCATATTTACCAATGCCCCAGTGGATTCGGACGTCATGGAACTAGCATTGAGAAAGCACCAATCACCTCAATGTCCCTCCAGTTAATTTTGAAAAATGTAAATGCATAGTCAAATCTTATATTTATGTACATATTACAAATTAATGTAATTTAAAAAACAAGGAGCAAAGAATATACTTTTAGTATGAGTTTGCTAATTAGAGTTTTCTGTTTTGAGTCAAATACCCAGTTAATTGGTACCAGTGTCTTGATTGTTTAAAGAAGGTTTGTGATTTTCAGTTAGCTTGTATATTTTGATGGATTCTCAGGATAATGAAGCAGATTAAAAAATAAAAAAAATAAAAATTGA